AGCCAGGTCTCAGAACACTGCCCAGCTCCTCTGATCCCAGTTTATGGGGACAGTGCCTGGGTACCAAGGTACCAAAACTGTCTCACCTGGAACTGCTCCGTGATCCGTCCAGGGTAGGCAACCAGCTGGTGCCAGCCCTCACTGCTGCGCTCAGGGCTCTGCCACAGCTCCACCACCTCATCCTTGTGTGCCACAGCCAGGCGCAGCACCGGCCGCTCTGTCTGGTTCAGCCCTGAGGGAAGCCCCAAAAGTGCCCTTGGTACAGGGCAGCCTGGGGTACCCAGAGGAACGAACGGAGCCCTGCCAGCTCTGTGGGCTGGAACTGGGACCCACAGGTCCCACCAGCTCTGTGTGTGGAGCGTGGAAGAGCAAACAGGATGGCAAGGACCCATCTCAAGGTGGTTCTGTTCCTGCCACAGGAGCAGATGGCCCCATTCCTCCCCACTGCCTCCCATCCTCACTGCCCAGTAGCTGATGCTGCCTGTGCCCACCTTGGGTGCTCTCACAGCTCCCTGAGAGGTGATACCAGGTTCTGATCTCACACGTGGCAGCTGCTTCCCGCATCTCTGGTGACCTGAGCCAGGCTGTGGCTGCGGTCTTTGCTGGGGGGGACATGGTCACCAAGAACCAACCTGGGGAGGGCAGAAAGCAGAGCGGGGGCTGCAGCCCCATGGGGTGGCACCAGAGCTGTGCCAGCACTACTCCTACCCCTCCACAGGTGTGCTCCCTCCCCTGCACCCTACAAAGATAGGTGTTCTGGCACCCGACTCCAGTGGAGTGGTGCTGTGGGTGGCCAGAGCCTGCTCACCAAGCAGCTCCCACTTACCCAGGTCAGTGCCCACGGTGTGGTCTGAATGAGGCCCCATGCCCCACATGGCCAGGTTGGCCCGGCCTCGCACCCATCCATACGTCGAGGTGCCCACATCCTGCCAGCCACAGTCACTGTCCTCGAAGTCACAGGTGAAGGGGGTGCCCAGAACTGCTGAGCCCCATAGGTACCCTGAAGGTGGGCAGATGCGGGGGGTCAAGGCAGGTTTGGGGCCACCCTGGGGACCTGTGCCCACCCCAGGGAACTGCACCCATCCCGGGGGGCTGCATCTACCGAGGGGACCTGCACCTACCCTAGGGACCTGTGGCCAGCCTAGGGGACTTGCACACAGCCTGGGATCCTGCACCCACCTGGCAAACTCACCTCCACCCAGGCGACCTGTGTTCACCCTGAACACCTGCACGAGGGACCTGCCCCTACCCTGTGGATCTGCACCCACCCCAGGGTACTGTACCAATCCTGGGGGACCCTGCATTCATCCTGGGCACCAGCACCACCCCAGGAACCTGTACCCACAACACCCCCCACTACATAGCCTGCTCTCTACCCCAGGAGCAGGGCCTGAGGGTGTGTCTGAGGGTCTGGGGAGTCTGAGCACCCACCACACTGGTTTTCATCCGAGCAGTCGCTGCAGTCACAGACGAAGTTGCAGAGCTGCTCAGCTGTGCTGCTGCAGCTGTTGACAACCACGGATCCACTGGGGAGCACGGTTCTGGCTATGAGAGAGACAATGGGGCTGAAAACTCACAGGGAACTAAGCACGGTGCCCGCAGCAGGAGATGGAGGGCATGCATGACCTGCAGGTGACATTTGCCTGGGCACCTCGGTTTGGGACCCTGCTGGGGCAGGTTCTGAGCTCTCAGTGGCATCTTTGCCTGGACGACCTCCCTGTCACTGTCCCGGCACTCCACATCTCACACTGCCACCTCCCACCGTCAGCCTTGGGGTGCCAGAGCCTGCCGGGGCACTGACTCTGCTATATCACACCCGTGCTTCGAGTCCCAGCCCCCTTTTTGGAAGAAAAAGGAATATCTGGACGTTTTCTGTCCCACGCTGAACAAAGCCACTGGTGATCCCCATCCCGGTGCTGGGGGCTCCGGCACCCTCTCACCCTGGGAACCCCAGCCTGAATTCAGCAACAGAGCCCAGTGGCTGGCCCAGTGCTGGGGCAAACTGCTGTGGAGGACCGGAGTGGAGCAGCCAGCACGGAGGCCCCTTCCCTCCAGCGACACAACCCCCGCCCGTGTTGGCAGAGCTCACCCAGCAGCACCAGGAGGGCCAGCATCGCCTGCCTGCCTGCAGCCATCCCGGCCACCGCGACGGTAAAACGGAGCTGGAAGAGGCCACACTGGGAGCCCCGGGCTGGAATGTGCTCCCCTGGAGCTGCCTGCGTTGGACTTCAGCCCCGCTGTTATCGGCCCCCTGGCCAGGCAGCGGGTTTATGGCCAGGCTGTCCTGACTGGGACAGTGCAGCGCGATCCTGTCAGCAGCACTGCCGGCACCTCAGCAGCGAGCTGGAGCCAGGTGCCCCATGGAGACCTTCGGCTTTTCCCCACTGAACCTCTCTTCTTCAGCCCGTTTTCCACGCAGAACAAGACGGTGGGTGACACTCTGACTGGGATGGGGCACAGCCCAGTGGAATGTGTTGGCTTGCTGAGGGATGAGGACACTTCCTGCAGAGCCAGAGATGCTGCCAGCCCTCTGGGGAAGCTGGCACCTCTGCCAGGCATATGGGGGCTCTGCCAGTCCCTGTGCATAAGGAGAGTGAGAGACTTTGGGTGCAGGGTTGGCAGTGGGCTGCACTCTGGCCAGCGAGAACAGCTGAGCTGGGAGTCAGCTTTATCTCCAATATTCCATCTCACCCTGAGCTCTGGCAGTGGGAAGTCATTCCCTCTTGTCTTGTCACTCCAAGCTCTTGTCCCTAGTCCCTCTTCAGCTCTCCTGGAGCCCCTTTAGGCACTGGAAGGGGCTCTGAGGTCCCCCTGGAGCCTGAGGATCCCAAGATGCTATCAGGAGGAGCCAGCCTTCGCCCTGCCTGCTCCGCTCCAGCTGGCAGGAGCATCTCAGCACCCAGCTCATGAATGCTGTGGGGTGAAGTAGCACAGCTCCAGGGTCACAACCAGGTCAGTCCTGGGGCAAAACATTCCTGGCAGAGCCCCAGCAAGGGCTGAGCCTGGAAGAAGCACAGCTTGGCAGCCAGAGCCCACAGATCACCACCAGTGTTGCCTGGCGATGGCAACTACTGACCCCACTGGTTTCCCTACCTGGGCAGAGGAAGAAGAGCCTGCTACCCCACAGGACCCCTCTCCCCTCTGCTGCCGCAGTCTTCGTGCCCTGAGAGGGGCCCCATCAAGCAGATCCTTCCAGGGAGCCAACGGCCTTGGAAGGCAGATTGCAGCGGGATTGCATCAGGGGCAGTAAAACACAGGCTCAGCTCCTTCCCCCAGTGCCAGCCAGGCCCAGTGAGGACCAGCAGTCCCACATCATCCAGTCCAGGCATGCTGGAGGGCAGGAGCCCTGCCCAGGAACCTTGGCAGCACCAAGCTGGCCACTGGCACAGTAGCCACTGGCCTCCTGGGTGCCACAGGCAACGCCTCTCTCACAGATCTGACCCCTCCCCTGCGCACTAGGGATGCTGGTGCTCCCAGTACGAGATGTGGGCATACTGGAACAGATCAAGTGATGATGATCACAGTACAGTACAGAATGGAAAGCATGACAGGAGGTCACCCCATCCCATCCCTCTGCTCCACAAGGGCTCCCTGGAAGATGTGTCCAGATGATTTTTGAGTATCTCCAGAGAAGGATATTCCCTGATGATGATGAGGGGACTGCACCTCCCACAAGGAGAGGCTGAGCTAGATGTGCCCAGCTTGGAGAAGGTGTAGGGGGATGTCACCCAGGTAAGCCCTGGCAGGAGGGTGCAGGGAGCGAACCCTTCGAGCAGGGAGTGTCCCGGTAAAGACTGAGACAAGAACAAAGCAAGAACAGCAAATGTCACTTAAAAGAAAAACCTTTTTTTTTTTTTTTTCTGTGAGGGCTGGTAAAACGAGAGCAGACTCCCAAGCTGCTGGGAAGTCCAAGTTGGGGAGATTCTCAAACCCCACCTGGTCACAGCTTCCCACAGCCTAATTCTAGACCAGAATCATGGAACTCCCTATGTTGGAAGGGACCCACAAGGACTGTCGAATTCAACTCCCGAGTCTGCACAGCACATCTCAGCAATCCCACCACGATGGACCAACTGAAGCTAGGCCAGTGGATGGACAGGACATCCCAGAGGTGCCTCCAAGCTCCACAATCCAGTGACTTGCAGGTTTGCAGCTGACTGTGTGACTTCTCGATAACATTCCCCCCAGCACAGGGGAGAGTCACACCTTGCAGGATGGAGGACGAGGCACAGCAGAGCCATGTTTTTGCCTGTGAAACTCATCCCCCTATTGTGAGCTTCCTTTGGAGTTTGGGCACAGGTTGAGCTTCTGCAGGTTGAGCTGACCCTGCATGCCTCTGGACACAGAGGAAGGAGCCCACATCCCTGAAGGCACGAGGCAGAGGCAGCAGCAGGGAGCATGCAGGGTCAGAGTCTGACAATGAAATGGGGCTGGGACTGGGCTGGGAGGGTCCTCCAGCCCCAGCCTCACATAGGACAGCGACTGAACCAACCCAGCCTACACATCTCCCTGGCGTTCTCCAGCCACTGAAGTCTCCAGCAGCTTCTCCCAGTCTCCCTCTACTGCTCCTCACTTGAAAGCACAAGCAGGGAGAATCCCTGGGAAATTGTGAGGTGGTCCTGGGTGGCTGGAGGGATGGAGTCAGGGAGGATGCTCTTCCTCAAGGTGTGACCACCTGCCAGAGGGAGAATGGCCATATTCTTCCCAATCATGTTCCCAGGTAGCTCAGTTTCCTCCCTGCAGGAGATGGGGCTGGTCTCTCCCCCAGGTCCATCTTGCCTTTCCCTCTCCCAGGCCTGGGCATTGCTTTCCTCTCTCCTGCCTCAACCCTTTCCAAGGCAAATCCCAATACACTTCCTGCTGTTCCCACCCCAGACTCTGCCTGCTCCCATGCCAGGCTCCTAGGCCAGGCCCCCCTCAAGGGGCGGATAACCTGGGGGGGTCCCTTCCACTGTCAACAGGCACAACCTGGAGCTGGGAAGGAGCAGCCGAGCCGTGAGCATGGCCACAGAGCAGCTGTGCTCCTCTGACGACTTTAATTCTCACAGATACACGTGGATGAGCCTCTGGCACCAGGCGGCTGGGGCAGAGCAACCACTGGCTTCACCAGCTTTGCCATGCCAGGGAGGTGGGAGCACCTGGCACGGGGACAGTCCGGTGATAGCGGAGAATGGGGGAGTTCAACACAGAGGAAAATCAGGAGAGCCTGGAGCACGGCCGAGCATGGGGAGCCTGCTGCCACCACCCTGGTGCTGCGTACAGCTGTGCCAGTTCTTGGCTGGCACCACAGACAGAGGAGTCAGTACCCTTCATCTGCCCAGGTGATCTCATAGTCGGGGTACTCGGCCTTCAGCTTCTCTGTGGTCACAGCGTGGTCAGCTCGTCCAAAGCCCTGCATAGGAAAAGAGGGTTCCCAAGGAGAGCTGGTGGGAATTTGCAAGGAAGCCTGGCAAATCCCCAGGGCAGCTCTGGCAGACCCCAGCAGCAGAGAGGCCACAGAGCCTGTGCCAGCCCTTCCTGACTCCAACTGCTGCTGGTGTTGCACGCAGGCAAGAGGACAGTGCCACCCTGAGGCTGGGAAAACTACGCGCCCAGGGACCACCACCCTGCCCTGGTCCCAGCTGGGCTCTGCACTCAACACCCAGTACAGCAGGTGCTGCAGCACAGCACTGGGATGGGGTCAGCATCCAGGGACCCACCATGACAGTGATGTCCCCGAGGGTACCTCCAGTCACCCTTACAAGGCCCCTACAGCACCGGACACTCCTGCAGGAACGCCCTCAGGACACACAAAGTGGAGACAGGGTTCTTGTGCAGCCCAATTCCCCCTGGCAGCACCCAGCGCTGGGTACAGCCACTGTGCCCATGGGGCCTCCGGGGACTCTGGGTGTGTGGCAGCCCCACAGGCAGCTGCTGGGGGCTTCATGGGGTGACCGTGCTTTGGCCAAGCACTGTTCACCCGAAAGGGCTCTGCGAAGTCCCCCCTCCCTCGGGCACTCGGGAGAACGCCCAGGAGCCCCGGGAGCGCCGCCCCGCTCACCCCTTCCAGCCCCGAGGGGATGCGATGCCAACTCGGCCGCCGTCAGTGGGACCCACACCGCGAAGGGAGATGCCGCGTCCACGCGTGGGCCCCCCCGGCTTCCGCTTACCACCGAGTACCCGTAGACGTGGATCTTCCTCTCCTCGGGGCGGTGGGACAGGCGGCCGCCGCCGAGGCACTCGCAGCTCAGGCCGTGCCGCGCCAGCTCCTCCGCGGTGCGCTCGAACAAGTCGGCTGCAGGGAGGGAGCGGGGGTGGCGCGGGGACCCCCGCCTCAGCCGCCGCCCCGTGACGGGCCAGACGCCCGGCAAACCCCCGCCCGCCCCCAGGGCCCGCGGCCGCTTCCCTCGGCACCCTGGGCCACAGCCCCGCACTCCCGGCGCCCCTCACCGTGGTACTCGGCCCAGCCGTGGCCTCGCACGACGTCCTTGGGGGGCGCGCCGGCCTCGCGCACCCGAACCAGCACGTACTTGAAGACACCATCGCCATCGATCTGCACGTCCGGCACCCGCGACAGCGCCGCGCCCGCCATCGCTGCCACCGCGCACCGTGCCCGCCTCCTCCGCCCAGCGTCCAACCAGCGCCCGCCCTCTGCCCGTGTTCCCGCCTCCTCCGCCCAACGTCCAACCAGCGCCCGGCCCCTGCCCGTGTTCCCGCCTCCTCCGCCCAACGTCCAACCAGCACCCGGCCCCTGCCCATGTTCCCGCCTCCCCCTCCCGGCGTTCAAGCAGCGCTCGCGGAGCCAGGCCCCGCCCACAGCTGGCGCGGCTCACCGCGGTCGCTCCCCCCTCCCCCGGCAGCGTCCAGGGACCCCCCAGCCCTGCCCCGCTCTGTGCCCAGAGCCCTCTGGGATCCCGGGGCCCCCCAGCACCTGAGGCTCCCGCAGTAGCACGCACAGGCTGCACAGACACGGTGGGGACACGGTCCTGCTGCAGCCCAGCCCCAGGCGCTGGGTGCGGCCGCTGCGGGACCCCCGGTGCTGAGGGGACCCTGGGGCAGGCCCGAGGGGCTCTGGGTTGTGGCAGCCCGGTGGGCAGGGGCTGGGGGGATGCGGAGCGCCCCTGCTCTGGCCAGGCACCGCTCACCCGAGAGGGCTCTGCAGGGGCTCGCCAGGCTCTGGGCTCCAGGGCAAACCTCGGGCTGTGCTCCCGTCACCCCCCCCGTCCCCCCAGCACTGCCGGCTGCCCGCAGCCCCCTCCCCTTGGTGTAATAGCCGAGGGGGTTCTGACAGGACAGCACGTATCTACAGAGGGGGTGCCCCCCGCCCTGCGTTCACATGATGTCGTCCAGGAGGTTGGGGCTGGCCACCCAGTCGAGGGTGCGAGGCTCGGAGGCCGCCATAATCATGCACATGAACTGTTTGCCCGTCCTCTTGTCGATGGGGTAGATGGTGGTGGGGGTGAAGCGCTTGTTGCTCTCCACGAAGTCGCAGAGCTGCTCGTAGACAGCGGGGAACTCGTGCCGCAGGAAGACGCCGCGGATGCGCAGCTCCCGCTGGATGTTGATGAAGCAGACCTCCCGTGCCTTCCGGCCCTCCTCTCCCTCCTTGTCGATGTCCGCCGTGCCCGGCGGTGGCGTCAGGATCAACGTTTCCATGTCCCGCTCCTTCTTCAAGATCTTCTTCTCAGGGCTGGAGGAGGCTAAGGCCACCTTGGCATATTTCCTGACCGTCGGCACCTGCATCTTCGGTGACGGCCTCTCTGGCACTTTCTGAGTGACGGCCACGGTTACATTCAGGAGGAAACATTCGTTGGGGTCGTACTGGCTGCCTGTCTCCCGCAGCTCCTGGGCATACTCCCCCAGGTTGTCCGAGTAGCTATCCAGCTCCCGCAGGGACAGGTACGTGGGGGACATCAGCAGGCTCTCCAGCCCAAACTGGAGAAAGTTCTCGGCGGAGCCCGCATTGGGGAAGCCCAGGAAGAGGACGCCACGGCCACGGGAGAGGTATCCCACCTTGGCGATGCGTGAGAAAGCCTTGTGGACCTCGGTGTTCTCGCGGCAGAACTGCAGGACGTGGCGGCAGACGCTGCCCACCCGCCCGTAGACACAGCTGGCCTTGTGCGTGTCCCAGTCCTCGCGCCGGCAGTGCCGGGAGCAGTAGTAGGTGTAGCAGCTGTGGCACGATTTGAAGTAGAGGCAGGCGTTGAACATGGTCTCTGTGCGCCGGCACTTGGCATTGGAGCACATCATCATGTCGTCCTCCTCAGCGCTCAGGTCGGGCGAGCAGTTCTCCGGTGACTTTTCGAAGGGGCCGGTGGCCGGTGGGCGGCGCGGGGTGCCAGCGTGGGAGCTGGGGCCCGGCTGCTCCTTTGTGGGTCGGGGTCCCTCGGGCACGTTGTGAGAGACCCGCCTGCCCTCGCCGCGCCGGGGGGGCCCCGAGGCATTACTGCTCAGCAGCTGCTTGAGCTGCTCCGCGAGGCTGTCCCTGTCCCCGGAGCGGTGGCCCGGTGCCGGCTTGTAGTCAATGACAAGGTCGGTGATGAGTTCGTCCAGCTGCTCCAGGCTGCGCTGGCGCCCCGAGCCACTCTCCCTGGCGCTGGGCTGCGGGGCACAGGGCACGGCGTAGGGCCTGCACTCCCGCCCCGCGTCCAGCATGTCCCAGCTGGCCGAGCGCCTCTCACTCCGGCCCAGCCCGTCGGCGCGGATGTCGTTGTCGGTGATGGTGATCTCCGGCGTGACGTACCAGGAGCGGCCTGGGGGCCCGCGGCTGCCGTCGGCGTGCACCCGCTCGAGGATGGAGCTCTCGGAGAGAGACAGGGCCGCGTAGCGCTTGGGTGAGCTTGACAGGTTCGCCCAACGTCCAACCAGCGCCCGGCCCCTGCCCGTGTTCCCGCCTCCTCCGCCCAACGTCCAACCAGCACCCGGCCCCTGCCCATGTTCCCGCCTCCCCCTCCCGGCGTTCAAGCAGCGCTCGCGGAGCCAGGCCCCGCCCACAGCTGGCGCGGGGTCCCGCCGGGCAGCGGCTGTGGCGGTGGAGGCTGGTGCCGGTGCCGGTGCCGGTGCCGGTGCCGGTGCCGGGATCCACAGCGGGGAGCAGGGCCGGGCAGGGCGGCGCGGGCGCCCTGAGTGACGGGCCTTGGCCACGACCGCGGCTCTGCCTCGCCTTCCCTGATCCCCGCCACGGTCACCCTTCACTGCGATTACGCCCGACCCCGGTCAGAGCCCCCCGCAGCTTGACAGGTTGATCACCACAGGCTGCCGGCGCTCCTCGGGGGATAAGGCACGGTGCTCTTCATGGGCGAGCAGGTTCTCATAGCTGCGCCCACGCAGCAGGGCCTCCTCCCTGCGTGCTGCCGGCGCCAGGATGTTATCCCAGGATTTGGAGTAGTGCTGGGTCTCCCGGCCCAGCCGTGGTGGAGTCACTCCGTAGCTGGCATGCCAGGAGGAGAACATGGCCTCACGCCCGGCCGGCTGTGGGGTGAAGCGGGACAGCTGCAGGCTCTGGTAGGGCAGCGTGGCCCGCTCGGGGCAGTACCAGTCCCCGAAGTGCAGGGGCTGTGCGCTGCGGGGCGGGGGGCACGTGCGCGACAGCACCTCCCGCTCCCGGTACTTGCCGTAGTCCTCGGCATAGAGCAGCCGCGGGGAGGAGCCGAGGGCTGGGTATGTCCGAGCGTCCTCGGCGTAGAGGGTTTTGACAGGGGTCCCACGCGGGGCGTAGTAGCGGGGCTCATCCCCATAGAAGGTGCGGGCAGGTGCCTCCTGCACCGGGTAACCCCGCGCCTCCTCCACGTACAACGTCCGGGGCGGCATCGTGTGAGCAGCAGCCTTGGCCGGGTCCTCGGTGTAGAAGGGCTGGGCCACGGCGTGGCGGCTGGGGTAGGGGTAGCTGGCATAGCCAGAGCTGCGGAGGGGCATGGCAGGGCTGGGGCACCGCGCTGACTCCTCTGCGTAGAAGAACTTGGCTGGGACGCCGGGGGCCGAAAAGGTCATGCAGCCCCTGTCGGGGTACTCCCTGAATTCCCGTGAGGCTGGCACGGGCACTGTCTGGTACGCCAGTGCCCGGGGGTCTGCCTCGTAGTACTCACCGGAGTAGGGCAGCAGCGGAGGGTCCCCGCTGTACGAGTCGCTGGGGGTGGGCGTGCGGGACGCGGACGCCTGCCGGCTCCCTGGCACGGTCAGGCTGCGGGCGGCCCCAGGGGTGCGGGGCCAGCGCGGCGGCTCCGGACGGTTCGGGGCTGCCCGCAGGCTCCGCGCCGTGTGCACCAGCACTGCCTCGTCCGGCTTGATGTCCACTCGGCACTTGACGTGGGGGCTGGCGCCCACCTTCGTCCCCGGCCCTTCCTCGTAGCAATTGCTGCCCAGGCAGAGCGGGGAGATGCGGCTGACGCTGCTCCGCTGCGGCTGCAGCTTGATGGGGTGAACCTCGTTGGCCAGCGCCCGCAGCGGCATCGGGCCCTCGCGGCGCGGCGAGGGATCGGTGTGGGAGGGCTCCCGTGCCACCCGCAGCACCTCCCGCCCACGCCGGGCTGGGGGCGGTGATGCCGCCACAGTGATGGGCACCGGGGTCAGGGTGGACTTCACCCGCGGGGCGCTCTTGGAGCGGGCTCGGCGCTTCGGCTCGCTCCGCGGCGCGGGGGCTCTGCCGCTGTAAGGGTCTGGCTTCGGTGGCACCTGCCTGCCCGGCGGCCCCGGCGTGGGCTCGGGCATGCCGGGGCGCGGACAGGCGCGCTCCATGGCCGAGGGGGTGCCCAGCTCTTCCAGCGACTCGATAAAGTCAAAACTCCTACAATGGCGCTTGTTGAAGGGCTGCGGCTCGCGGGACAGGGAGGAGGACATGGAGGCGTCACATTGTGCTAAGGGCTGACAGACAACGGAATCCCCAGGGGCTGCTGTCGCCACCTTGATGTCTTGGTACACCGTGGACACCAGAATGTCAGGTGGGTCTGTTCGTGTCATCTTAAAAGCAACTCTTCTCCTGCCAGTTCCCTGTCACACAGCCTCAGAGGACGGTAGCCCACCCTGCAAGAGAACACATGAGGTGCCTCAATCCTGGAGTGACCTTGTATCAATCCCCACAGCTCCTGGCCTAGAGCTGGGAGTTGGCCATCTCTTCAGAAAGGAAGGTTTGGGGGCATCCCAGCCTCCACTGCTGCTGTCAATAGTCAGTCAACTGGAGGAAGAAACTGGAAAAAGTCTCCAGATCCAGGGTGCAAATCACGGAGCGTCAGGCAGGACACCGATGGGGGCAGCCAGGGAACTCTGCATACCAGCTCAGCACAGCAAGAGGAGAACACAGAGTACTGTGCCCTCTTCCTGGGCCACAGGGCACAGGGACTGTCTTGCAGAATCACATGAATTGGCAGCTCTGAGCAGGGCTGTGAGGGTTCAACACCAGGGTTTTCCATGGGGAGTGTGTGCTCAGCCCTGGCGAGAGCACTGGAATGGTGAGGGATCTCCTGGGACTGTGTGTACCCACCTCCCAGCACCAGCACTGCAGCGAGAAACGGGGCCCAGGGACAGGCACCATGAGCACCCACCATGGTGGCTGGGAAGCCCCCACAGTCTGGGGCTCTTTAGGAGGCAGGAGCTACAACCCCTTCTTGTGGTGGCTGCACCCACTGTGGCCCACAAACACCTGTGTGG